AGCACATTGAACACATTTTATAAGTGATCAGAAACTTGTAAATAACTTATTAAAGAATAAAGTTATGTGAAAACCAAGCACACCGTTGTTTTTCTTGTGAAATTCACAATAAGTTTGATGTGTCACATGACCCTTTTCCTATTGAAAAAAACAAAGTTGGATTTAAGATGGCCGACTTCAAAATGGTCACCACCTATCTTGAAAAGTTTGCCCCCTCACATATGCTAATGTTCCACAAACAGGACGTTAATATCACCAACCATTCCCATTTTATTAAGGTGCATCCATATAATTGGCCACTCTGTATAGTGAAAATATTTGAGACGTTTCAGATCTACAAATTCACTTTTTTAAAAATAAAATGACATTGATGTTGTGGTGGTCTCATTTATTGCGCATGTTTGTTCTTCCCTAATACTGTACATCTACTTCAAACCCAAAACTTTACAATAAGATTGATTCATTCATATTTCAACATTTACTAGTGCATTATTGAAATGCAAATGTGTTTATTAAACAACAGAGAATGACTAGATCCATTCATTCATTTTCTTTTCGGCTCAGTCCCTTTATTAATCTGGGGTCGCCACAGCGGAATGAACCGCCAACTTATCCAACATATGTTTTACGCAGCGGATGCCTTTCCAGCTTTTGGAAACATCCACACACACTCATTCACACTCATACACTACAGACAATTTTACCATACCCAATCCTCCTGTACCGCATGTGTTTGGACTGTGGGGGAAACCAGAGCACCCAGAGGAAACCCACGCAAACGCAGGGAGAACATGCAAACTCCACACAGAAATGCCAACTGACCCAGCCGAGACTTGAACCAGTAACCTTCTTGCTGTGAGGTGACAGCACTACCTACTGCACCACCAATGACTAGATCATTTATGTTAGGTTAGCAAAGATTAATAAAGTCTGTGATAATAATTGATAATGGATTGTTGATAATGAAGTGAGATGTTTAATGATGATGATTACGTTAGATTGAGTCAAATCTTCATAAACTAATTACTGTATGTATTATAGCAGTGTTTTATTTTATAGCTTATTGGACACAATACAATTCATTCATTACAAGTCGTTACCAGCATTGAAGTCACATTTGAAGTGTTTATAATGAGTCTTAGGGCAGTACGGTGGCGCAGTGGGTAGCATAATCGCCTCACAGAAAGAAGGTCGCTGGTTTGAGCCCCGGCTGGGTCAGTTAGCATTACTGTGTGGAGTTTGCATGTTCTCCCCATGTTGGCGGGAGTTTCCTCCGTGTTCCCCCCACAGTCCAAACACATGCGCTATAGGTGAACTGAATAAACTAAATTGCCTGTAGTGAATGTGTTCAAGTTCAATTTATTTATGTAGCACGTTTCCAACTGCCACAAGGCCTCACAAAGTGCTTTACAGAGAAAAAATAAACTAACGATATGGGTTGAAAAACAGTAACAGCAATAGGCACATAATTTAAAAAGAGCATAGAAAGTGTAACAATAAAAAGAGATAAAGAAATTATTTTTTTTTGCCTAATTAAAAAATGCAACTACAGTTGACCAACACTAAACACGATTAAGAACAGGACTGTTTTTATCCCCCCAACCCCCCTCCCCCTCCCCCTCCCTCAAGTGAAGGACTTATGCTTCAAAAATGTGAATGTGCAGTTGGAAGGGCATTCGCTGCGTAAAACATATGCTGGTTAAGTAGGCGGTTCATTCTGCTGTGGCGACCCCTGATTCATAAAGAAACTAAGCCAAAAAGAAAATGAATGAATGAACAATAGAATTTATTCACTACGAGGCAAATGACCAGCATTAAAGTCACATTTGAAGTGTTTATAATGAGTCATAAGAACAGAACTGTTGGTAAGGTGCAAGAACCTGACTTTGGTTAGGTGTAAGAGTGTCTTTTGAAATAACCCATCAGAGGTTACAGTGTAAGTCAGAATCAGCTCTGAACACAGAAAACAGAAGTTTGATAAAGCAATGAGATGCAATTTGATTAAATATATGAATTTGGTTCACTGAAGCATGTAAATATTTATTACACAAACAAAATGGGGCGACGCAGTGGCGCAGTAGGTAGTGCTGTCGCCTCACAGAAAGAAAGTCACTAGGTCGTTGGTTTGAACCTCAGCTCAGTTGGCGTTTCTGTGTGGAGTTTGCATGTTCTCCCTGCCTTCGCGTGGGTTTCCTCCGGGTGCTCCGGTTTCCCCACAGTCCAAAGACATGCGGTACAGGTGAATTGGGTAGGCTAAATTGTCCGTAGTGTATGAGTGTGTGTGTTTGCGTGAGTTTCCCAGAGATGGGTTGCGGCTGGAAGGGCATTCGCTGCGTAAAAACGTACTAGATAAGTTGGCGGTTCATTCCGCTGTGTCGACCCCGGATTAATAAAGGGACTAAGCCGACAAGAAAATGAATGAATGAAACTAGTGAAAATAGCTGAGTTGTACTGAAATAAGACTCTTTACTTAAACAAAAACAGAAAAAGCACAAAAAATGCTTTATTTAAAAAAAAAAAAAAAAAGGAATCATAAAACAACCTCAAAGATGACATAAAAAACAATACAGCATATAACTTGTGAAAGAAAAAAAACAGTTTGATGTGCACGGACACATCTAAACCACAGGCCTCAAACTGGATTCCTGGAGGGCCGCAGCTCTGCACAGTTTACCTCCAACCCTAATCAAACACAGCTCAGCCGACTAATCAAGCTGTTCAAGACTAATAGAGCAGGGCTGTCCAAACTTAGGCTCTCAGTATGCGTTCTTCAGCAATCTTGCGTACTCCTGAGTTAAAGGTGGTTGGAGATAAACTGTGCAGAGCTGTGGCCCTGCAGATATAAAGTTTAAGACCACTAAACAGCATTCAGATATTATAATAGCTGAAGAGTAACTCGGTCCATCCAGCTGTTATAACGCAGGAGTGTCAAACACAGTTTCTGGAGGGCCGCAGCTCTGCAGTTTAGTTCTAGCCCTGCTTTAACACACTTACCATCAGGTTTCAAACAAGCCTGAAGGACTCATGATCAGGTGTGTTTAATTAGGGTTGGAACTAAACTGCAGAGCTCAGGAACTGAGTTTGAGACCGTTGATCTAAACAATGTTCAGATTTTATAATACATGAGTGTCCAAACTCAGTCCTGGTGGGCCGGTGCTTTGCAGATTTTAGTTCTAACTCCAATTAAACACACCTGAACCAGCTCATCAAGCTCTTTCTAGGTGTACTAGACATCCAGGCAGGTGTGTTGGAGGAAGTTGGAGCTAAACAGAAGACCGGCCCTCCAGGACCAAGTTTGCACACTGCTTGTACAATAATCATAAGCTGAAGAGTAACTCGGTCAATCCAGATGTTATAATGCAGGAGTGTCAAACTTAGCTCCTGGAGGGCCGCAGCTCTGCAGTTTAGTTCCAGCCCTGCTTCAACATACTCACCTGTAATTTCCAAACCTGTAGAACTGGTAGAACTCGATTAGTTTGATCAAGTTGAAGAGTTGTGGTCCTCCAGGAGCTGAGTTTGACACCTGTGTGGAATCCAGCACATTATACCAGTCTATCAGACGCTGCAGGGAATCTTCACACATTCACACACTCCTGGAACTATCTCTTCTTCTTGCTCTCCTTCTTCATCTTCTGGCGGATCTGTTGAACGGGCGGCTTTGCTTTTCGGTTCTGATCAGTGCTGCGAGTGTCGGCCGGATCTGATGTCTCCACCGGCTGACAGAAAAACAAACATTCATCATGTCTCCAATGTAGATTCATCAGAAAACACATAGGCTTGGGTTAAAGTGTAAAAGAAAATGCATAAAGAGAGTTCACTCAAACAATGTTCTTTCCTCTGGTGAACACCAAAGAAGATGTTTTACAGAATGTTGGGGAAAAAAATAGGCATGGACTTCCATCATTTCTGTTGTTTCTACTACTGATGTCAAGGGCTGATTCCTTCAGAATATCTTGTTTTGTGTTCAACATAAGAAACTCATAATTGTGTATATATATATATATATATATATATATATATATATATATATATATGTATGCAGAGTAAATTAGTATTTTTGGGTGAACTGTGCCTTGAAAAATTGTGAAATTTCTGTTCTGATCAAATATGCTGGCACTGAACACTTGATAAGAGCTCAAAACAATTGCTTGTATAACAATAATAAACCACTCCAAAAAGAAAACTGTGCACACACCATATACATGTTTGTTTGTGTGTGTGTGTGTGTGTGTGTGTGTGTGTATATACAGTTACAGTTGAAGTCAGATTTATTCGCCCCTCTGAATTATTTTTTCCCTAATTTCTGTTTAGCTTAGAGATTTTTTTCAACACATTTCTAAACACAATAGTTTTATTAACTCATCTTTAATAACTGATTTATTTTATCTTTGTCATGATGACTGTAAATAATATTTGACTAGATATTTTTCAAGACATTTAAAGGCTTAACTAGGTTAATTAGGTTAACTAGGCATGTTAGGGTAATTAGGCAAGTTATTGTGTAACAATGGTTTGTTCTGTAAAAAATTAAAAACAAAATTAGCTTAAAGGGGCTAATCATTTTGTCCCTAAAATGATTATTAAAAAAACTGTTTTATTCTAGCTGAAATAAAACAAATAAGACTTTCTCCAGGAGAAAAAATATTATCAGATATACTGTGAAAATTTCCTTGCTCTGTTAAACATCATTTGGGAAATAATAAAAATTTTAAAAAAAAATCAATGGGCGGCTAATAATTCTGACTTCAACTGTATGTATGTATGTGTGTGTGTGTGTGTGTGTGTGTGTGTATACACNCNCNC